GGAATATTAAAGTTGAATGGTGTGCATGGTGAGACATTAAATTAGTGAGTTATTACTGTGAGAGTGGGTGCAGTTCTGTTTCCTTTAACCTGTTAGAAAATCATTTAGAAAATGTAAACACTAACAGGCTATAATTTTCCTTTGCTCTTCAAAAGAGCAAGCACATTTTATCAACGGCACTACTATGATTATTCATTGATAGGAACAGGTGGCAATGTAGCTCTCATCTCTTCTCCATACAGCATCAGTGGTTATTAAATTACCCATCTTCATGCATATGCATACAAACATTTGTTTTGCTAGCTTAGAGCTTTCTTTCTAGAAATGGAACCCAAAGACATGTAAAAATATAATTATTTGGAGTTAAATCAATATCAATTTTCCATTTTTAATGAGATGACTCCACTACATGATTTTCAAAACAATGACATTTTTTCTTTCCTTCCTTAAAAAAAATTTAAAAATTATTTGATAATATCTATATGAAAAGCTTGCAATTTGGATGAAAATAGTAATCAAATTTCATTTAAATGTGCAAGCTTTTCCAATACCTCTGAAACTGAATTCCAAATTCCAGCAATTCTTGCTCCCTTAAAAAAAATGTACTCAATTCCTTCTACGTATATTAGCATGGCACTAATTCCTTTTCCAGCACTTGCCATGAAACTTTCCTACAAAGATTTATGGCACAGGGACACTACCTGTGGTGGCGGGAGGCCTCCTGCACCTGCAGGGCATTCTGGCAGCATAGTGAGTTTCTTGTGAGTGCTGCACTTGCAGGGAGGTGAAGGATTCTCAGGGCTCCACTTTTGGCTCAGCAGGAGGCTGCTTAGGTTAGGATGAACAGCTGGTGTGTTCCAAGCGGTTGGCATACTATTGCATGGGTAGCTCCTGTGTAGAGGAACAGACTCTCTAAGCTGTGCAGATAGAGTTCATGAGAGCTCACAAATCCACAAATTCACAATGCTCTCAGCAGACATTCTCCTCAGCCCTTATCCTGTGAGTTATGAATAGTAAGAACACTTTAGAGTACTTGGTAAACATGAATAAATATAATCTCCCCCCACATCTCTGCCAAGTTTACTGTCTTCAGCTTACAGATAGGACACTGAATGAACAAGGGGACTGTGTTTGACCCATTAGTACACATAATCTGCAGTGAACACATGTCTTTGTGAAGAAACTCTCCTTTTCCTTGCTCATGCAGTATCTTTTCTCTAGTTTTTAACATTTCCTCCTGGTTCCTGCTGTACCAGGCAGAGGAAAGGAAGGGGAAGATAGAGGAGAGGACAGCCAGAAGAATCAACTTGCTGGATATCTCGACTGGGAGAGAGGCATGAGAAAAGGAACAAATGGCAAAGCATAGCACGCTAGTGACAAATGTCTCCAAAGCAGGATTCACAGGCAGAGTAAGTGGGTAGAACAAGAAATATTAAAGTAAGAGCTCTACTAATGTTGTCCTCATTTCAGAGTGACAATAGCTTCAAATCATAGAGACTGTCCTATTGCTACTTCACAATCTGAGCAATTGCTGTAGTTATTGCTTCCAACCACACCAGTGGGAAAGGAGAAACCTGAGGGGACACATGCAGAAAGTGCCAGGGAAGCTGTGAAGATACAGTCTGAGTCCACTGGCCTACTGACATACTTTTCAAGGTTGCTTACTTCTCAATACAAGGCTACATGAGCTAGCTGGCTTCCAGCTAGTCACCTTGAGCACTGTGAATCATTCTTAATCCAGTGATATTGCTGTTGTGTTGTTTGTTACTTTTGACCTGATATTAGATATTATTGAAGATATCTGAAGCGTTGGCTCTAGTGCAAAGTCAAGCCAATTCACTCTTGTTTCACTACTCAAGTTCCACTAGTAATACCCTGCTAGAATCTCGTTAAAGAGAGATTAGCTAGCAACTTACGGAAGAGGCTGATTCTTCATGCAGCGATTTCCAAATCCTGGTTTATTCAAGAAAGCATCAGTGAGGGAGACCATCTGCTCACTGCCAGGACGCTCATTGCTAAGGGAATAAGATAGGAGTTTCTCTACAAAAATTTTTTGCAAACTATTGTACTGGAATGCACATAGCAACTGGTGAAGGACAGCCATATGGCAACCCCAACTGCCCCCCTCCAAATGCTGATAATTCAATTATTTTTTTTATTTATGCAAAACCCCAGAATCTTCCAAGATGGTTACCAGGCTAAAGTAATAGTCCTTTTCTTCTAATATTAAAGCATGGCTTCTGACATAGTCCTATAGCAATATTCTCCAAAAACACTTGAATCCCCATTTCTACCATCTCAGTCCTGTCACACTCAGTAATCAGAAGATGAAAAACATATTCTGTGTTTTCATTTGCTGAGGTCAAAGAGACAACACTGCTAACAGTGAAATGTCTACAGTTAACAACCTAGTAACATTAGACTGCAGAATATTATTACTGTCATTAGGTGATCTTATGGCAGTCTTCCAGAACCTGAAGGGGGCCTACAGGAAAGCTGGAGAGGGACTTTTTACAAGGGTATATGGTGATAAGACAAGGGGCAATGGCTTTAAACTGCAAGAGGTGAGATTTAGATGAGATACAAGGAAGAAATTTTTTACATTGAGGGTGGTGAGGCACTGGAACAGGTTGCTCAGAGAAGCTGAGGATGCCCCCTTCCTGGAAGTGTTCAAGGCCAGGTTGTATGAGGCTTTGAGCAACCTGGTGTAGTGGAGGGTGTTCCTGCCCATGGCAGGGGGGTTGGAACTAGATGATCTTTGAGGTCCTTTCCAACCCTAACCATTCTATGATTCATTCTATGTTATACAAGTATGAATATCAAATTCCTCTCCACACACTATCATGTGCAAATTAAAGTTTCATGTGAATTTTCAAGGAAAATGCTTCAAAATTATTGCCTTCAGTTTTGCTGCTTTCTGCTAGCTGTGACCTAGTCCAGGATTAAACATTGTTTATAAGTTTCCTCTGCATTGCCCATGTTTTGACTTGGTGCAAGTTCAGCTTTGGAATACGTGGAAGTGAAGGTGAAGCAAGTGTTCAGGAGGGCACAGAGGAATTGTGCAGTGACCTGGAGAGAACAGACCTGAAGCTTCTATGAAGAATGAAAGGAGACAAAGTGCTAGCAGACAAAAAAAAAATTCAGGCCCACGCAAAGGATACTGTGTGGGGAGAAACTGCTAAGCAGCAGCAGCATTAATAAATCCTAAGAGTCTCTGCTTTCATCTTGTTTCCATAACTTTGCCCAAATACTGTACTAACTATAAATAAATCTCCACAGGTCAGCAGATAGGCTTGAATCTCATTGTTCTCTAAGATTATGAACATAGGAATAGTTCAACGGCATATCAGAAACAGTCAGATTTCTTACTGTCCTGAATCTCCTGTTAAGAGTTTATAAGTGTTGAGATCATTAATTTAGGTAGGAAGAAGAGAATATCTAAGATAGCATGATATTTGAAGGACTATTGGTTAGACATACTATCAGCCGTATTCTCCACTTGCACCTATTTCACACTATTTTAAATCTGCTGATTCCAGTGGAGTTAATCCTTTTTTAATACCACATACAGTGAGAAAACCCCAGTAAGACAGGGCCCCATGATCCTAAACATGAGGGAGAAAAGGGTGTATATATGACAGACGTACTTTTACTCAGTGATTCCTCTTACCTGAAGAAAGTAAACTGTTGTCCATAGATCCAAGGGTGTAAGGTTAAGGCAGGATATTCTCCAAACGGAGGAATAATAACTGTAAGTATTAAAGACAGCAACACAAAACTTGCAGGGAGAACAATCTGCAGGGAACATGAAAACATCACACTAGGTTATTAGATATACGTTGAAGAGTGACACTGTACACTTCTCATAATATATATAAACGAAGGAGGGACAGCAAGAGCACACAGATCAGATCTGGTTTAGCTCCTGAACACCAACAATTTAATTTCCGATGCTTTCAGTTAAGAATTTGGTTGTCACAGAACTGTATCATGTTAAAAATAAAATGTTGGGCTAGTAGGGATTGAATCATGAACTTCTTGGGGGTGATAGAGTCTAGGCTGAAAGAAATAGAATGAGAAGCAGAAGAGTTGTAATCATAATTAGAACAGTTAGGGAAACTGTTACCCATTTGCAGCACCTCTGTTGCTTTGCATAGAGAAATTGCTGGGAAAGACAGCGTCAAGCATGTTGTGGCAGAGTCAAGAATGGCAACAGTCAGTCAGTACCTGGGCTAGGAAGTCCTTGTGGCTGCGGGAGGCATGGTGGAACCGTTTGATGAGCAGCGCTTTGATCTGCTGATGTACAAGCTGAAAACCTTTATATTGTCGGGACCCTTTGCCTTCATTTTGATCTCCTGCTACGCCTACTGGCATTCGAGAAGGGTCATTACTTTTCAGAGCAGTTTGTTCAGCTGGTTTGTTCTCAGGAGAAGTTTTGCCAAGAGTAGAACCATTTTCTTGAGTGCCTCCTAGGTTAAGTTGAAAACGGGCAGAGAAGACACTTTATCCTCCATACATGAAGGTAGCACAAATGTTTTAATAAGCTCCAGGTTTTACCAACTGTATATATCACATCACCAGATTGCTTTAATTACAACTGTTGCACTGTGGCTGTATCTAGTGGCATCAGATAGGTTAACAATCCTGTTACTCAGCAGGATGGACAAGTTAATTATGTATGTAGTTCATAGCCTAATGGTCAGCAAAGTACTTTTTATAAAACAGCTAAAACCATTGACATCTGGGTGCTTGAGAAGCAACTTTTATTTACATAGTTAAGGACCTCATTCAATTTAAATGAAAGTATTTCTGCTGACTTCATCCTGTTTCTCAGATATCATGTCAGGCCCTAAAACCAGATATTTGCTGATCAAATTTATTTTGGCAAGAACACTATACAAAGACTGAAAGTTCTGAGGCTCTTCTTTACTTGATGTTGAGAATAGATAAGAGTCACAGGAAAAGTTTATCAAATACTAATTCATGGATCTATACCTGCTTTTTGGATTCCAGGGTCAGCTTCTGCTGTGACCTTTAGGAAAACCTGCCATAGACAAACACATCTCCCAGTTAGGGATAGAACAGGTAAAACAACCAGACGTCTGGAATATTATACATGATCCTTTAATGTAACAGAAAAAAATTTAGATACCTTTTCAGTACTCCTACTTATTACATAATCAGAGATTTCTTATGAAATAGCTCACAAAATAAAGAAAGGAACAAACTAAGATACAAAGAAGGACAGATTCCAGGCTAATGAGTCATGCTTTACAAGGCTAACATGAAGCAAGGCTTGGATCCTTTCTCTACGCCCATCCCAAAGACTTTCTGAGTGCACCACAGCATATGTGACAAGGTTTTGAAGGGGATATTAGGAAACAGTAAGATTACATGTTTAAGAACAGGAACTGTCTCAGAAAACATTTTGAGTACTGATGGTAAGATCAGCAGATATTTTAATCTATCTGTTACCTCTTCAAGTGGTGTGTCTGAAATTCCAAAACTGCTGAGTCCTAGGTCATCCAATGTTTCCTCCAGTTCTCTGAAGAGACTGGCATAAGATCGCTGTTTAAAGTGTTTATTGGGCAAAAGGTAAATGAGTTCCTGACCAATGCTTTCGATTAACTTTGCTTCTGGGATATGATGATGAATTACTTCTGCTAGCTCATTCAGATCTCCTGTGAAAAGTCAAAACAGTGTTCAAAGAATGAATAATCATGCCAAGCATGATTTCAAAAGCTGTTGTTTACACTATACACAAAAGGGGACTACTCTATTATATAACTTGCAGATATCTCAGTTAATTCTGTGCTAGACTGGATTATGTTGCTAATTATGCTCTGGAACTATATAGCAGGAAACTACTTCAGATCTGTCAATAAAGCACAACAAAATCTCCAGGAACATCTACTTAAGTTCTTCTTTTACGTAGAAAAGCCAAAATGACTTTTTCTGAGAAAGCTCGTTTCCTTTGCTATGCTTCAGTCTTCATGAACAAGTTACACATTTTGGTGCAGAGTAGTTCAAAACTCAGTCTATACCTCTAAAGCATAAAAAATTCCAGTTCATCATCTGTCCTTCAGACAACACATACATCAAAAAGGGGCAACAGTGAGCAAAATCACAAAGAAACCTTATCAAATTTATGTTAACACTACAGTACAGACGTTAGATACAAGTACTGAAGAAGTGGGCCTTAGCAGCATTGATCTGTAAGAGAGATTGCAGCATAACAGGAGATAGCTATATGCTGGAATGCCAAATCATCCCACTTCTTACCATCCAGTTCCTGCTCTGGAGCTCCTTCTTTGTCCCTGCGCGTACAGCTGGAGCAGGAGCAGGAGCACTGAGATCCACAGCTACAAAGCGACTAGCACGGACAAGCAACAGATACAAAGATGAAAGTGCTTCAGATACAGGCGAAACAGGATGTAAGGGCTGTAAGCCTTTGAACAGTTTGAGTAAGCGAAAAATATGTCATATCTGGAGCATCTTGAACATATTATACTGAAAGTCTGGATAAAGCAATGCAGAAAACATATATCCACCTGCACAAAGCATATCCATCAGTTCTAAACTGCATGCAAAACACCTGCGGAAATGCCATCAGCAGTGGCCATAAGTATATAGATCATGTTGCTACTAAGACTGGAAGCACTTCTAACAGCAGAAAGAATCCAGATCCCTACTTCTCAAGGTGTGCAAGGCTGGTTTATCTATGGATAGATGTAGACTCTTCTGGTGTCTGAGCTAGTTACCAGACTACATCATGTTTACAACCAGTGTACTGCAAAAGCAGGCATCAGAAAGACCTGCATATGAACAAAGGCAACTTGATTGGTAAAAGTTTAGACGTTAAGTGATGACAGTGAACTATAGACCACTGAGGGCTTCATATTCACTTATTATTTTCGCCTGTCTGGTTGACATATTTATAAAACCAGAGAGGAATTTTACAGAGAGGCTCATGTATCCACATAATTTCATGAGATGTCATCAAATTTTCTCATCGCTTTCTTCATTTTGAAGTTAGTTTTGTACGCAGCCTCAAGCAGTACTTAACTGCTTTCTACCTTGGTGCAGTGCACAAACATGTATTAAGTATTTTTCAGATTACATGTGTAGGAAGGGAGCTACATACTTACTGTAGCCCTTCCAATTCTGTTGGTTTTCATCTTGCGAACAAGAGTGAGATAGAATCCAGATCCAAAGCAGTTCTTTAGGAATACAGGAGAACCTGAGCAGAATAGTTTCCCTTGGGATATGATGGCTACTCTGTCTCCAAGGATGTCTGCCTCATCCATGTGATGGGTTGAGAGGATGATGGTTCTGCCTAGAAGGAACAGGGAGGAATGTTCAAGGCATGGACTCTCTCTGAAACTCGAAACTCTATTTAGTTTTTTGGCAATTAATGCAGAATTTTCTTGGCACCAGAGCCAGATCTCAGGTTTGCCACATCCATAGTTATCTGTTCAAATAATTTTGTTTGCTTGTATTCGTATCTCACTACTCATGACCATCTACACAGCAGGCACGTGCTGAATCTATGACAGGTTTTAAAAATAAAACAAAATAATTTCTACTCTCAAACCTGTTACCTGAGCGATACTTCAGCAGAAGATCCCAGATAGATCGCCTGGAATATGGATCAACTCCAGAAGTGGGCTCATCCAAGACTACCACTTTTGCTTCACCCACAAAAGCAATGGCAACAGACAGTTTCCTTTGCATTCCACCTGACAGAGGACAGAAGCACCCAGGAGTCTGAGATGAGTTCTGTGAGTGGCAGGGATGTAATTAACAGTGCTTTTCAGCGTGCGGACAAACTGACACAAGTAAAACAAAACCCATACTCAGACAAATATTTCTGCAAAATTAAATCAATAGTCACATTTTTCTTCTGAAGTTCAGAATAGCTTGTTCAAAATTTTATTTTTTTAATGTATTTTTTATCTATGCTTCTTGCTTTTTGCCAGAAGCAAAAGCAGGAAGATATGAGATTTTCACGTTCTCATGTGAAACTAGCTGACTTTTACAGTTCCAGTCAGGACAAAGTAGTATAGGAACATCTATCTAGCTGTTTATTCAAATCAGCTTTTGAATCTGAAAGTGAAATGTGATCAAATACACTATTTACATTTGTACCTTCAGAATAAAAGAAATTACTCCTACCAAATAATAGCATTATAGCGTACTGATCCAAACAGCGGAGAGGCAAGATAGTATACTATTTCATTTACCTTAAAATAATAGAACATTGTATTTTGTTTTTTTTTTTTCTTACATTGACAGATTTTTTTTTTTATATATATATATATACAGTCATTTAAAAATAACAGCTTTCAGCGTATTTGAATTTGTTGTGTTTATAATTTATAAGAAACAGAAGCTTTAGGGACAGGTTGTGCCAGCTTTACTATTGGTACAGTCCCATTTACTCTTTGAGAGTAAAGACCTCCCCAGTGCACAGTGATGTATCAGAATATGGCTTCAAACACATAATTCAAACAATAATTGCCCAAAGACAAAGAAAAGGCAGCAGAAAAAATGTCTTAGAACAGTCCTGTGTGCACCTGACAAATTCTGAGCCTCTTCATTCCTTTTATGGGTGAGGCCCATGTCTTCCAGCATTGTTTCCAACTCTTGCTCAGCTTCATCCCTGGATCTCCCTTTCAGTTGAGAATAAAACAAGATGTGTTCCGCTACAGTAAGGCTGTGAAATCAGATAGAAAGGCACCAAGGCAATTTAGATGATTAAGCAGATTTTTTCCCAAGCAGCAATAAATTCACTCTAGCTTTATCTTGCTGAAGGAAAAGGGGCTGCTTTACCCTAAATCTGGATCACACATCATCTTTGGGATCAACACACTTCACTCAGATATCATAGGCTCCTTCTCTGCCTTTTCAAAGCAGAACCTGCTACTAAAGGAACAAGAAGAGCAGGCATCAAGCTACACATTTATGGGACTAAAATGGGAGCTAATGTGAGTATTAGCTCACTCCCTTCCATTTAAGGAAGAGAGTCTGCTGTTGAGATGAACGCAAACTGAGGGCAGTGAAGCTGGAAATCACCTGAGAAGGTAGCAAATGTTACGGGTGTAGTGCAAAATGGGTATAAAAACATCCTGCTAGTACACTGTAGGCTCAGATTTTTTTGCTTTAGGAGGCCTAAATTCTAGTGCATGAACCCCCAGGGCTGAACTTCTGCTAACCTACACTGCAACAGAAAACACCAAAACCAAGAGAACTGTCGTTTTCCTCAGAAACTTTGTTCCTAGCTAAATGATGCAGGAGATTTCTATTGGAGAAGGACAACACCTACTCTATGCAAGTGTTAAGAAGTGCCTCTGAGATATATCTACTGCCAGCACAGTAAGAGAAACAACACAGGCTTTGGGGATGTGTCAACCATGCAGACTGGGGCCCTTATTCTTAAAGCTAGTATGGAATGACACTTACTGATTGAACAAGATGTTGTACTGTGGGCACATGCCTAACCGGTGCCGAATGGAGTCCATGTGAGTCTGAATATCCAGGCCGCCGATCAGCACAGTTCCAGAGGTGGGTGGGAAAAGGCCTGTCAGTATTGACCTGGGAAAATAAAACGAGGAAATTTACACTCTCTTCTCTTTCTGTGCCGGGTTAGGAAGAGGCATTACATGATTCCACTAGATGGAGCATGATGACTTCTTACTACAGGCTTTGATGAAACAGCTCTGGTAAAAAGCGTGCATAGAAATACCCCTGTCCTGTCACAGTGAGCAAGAATCTTGCGGATCTGCTAACGTAATTTTTGATACAGCTGTCTATGGTTCTGGCCTGCATTAAAAAAGTGTTTAAGTCAGCTACTCTGTTTCGGAGTAGTTTGTTCAGCATGTTACATCACCCTCATGTACAAATGGGTCTAAAATGAAGCTCACTAGGATCAAGATAGAGAATAATGGTTTGAGGTCTCCAGTCACGCTGACTCGTGCCCTACACCTTTATTTTCTGTCAAATGGAAGGGCCGAATGTTACATTGCAAATGGGTGGAACCTGTTACTAGATTTGGATGAATAATGGATTTTTCAGTCCTGAAAACGTCAAAGCAATAAATTTTTTGTTTTATCAGGAGAATAGAAAAACAAATTTACAAAGCATTTTGGCAGATTACAATGCTTTTATTTTGGGTCAAACATTTCTTGTGGAACAATTAAAAGAAATTAAAAGGCAATTTAAAGTGCATTTGAAAAAAAAAAGTTCTGTTGGGAAACATCATAATGAAACACTTGAGTTCTTTCAACATTTGGTGAACTTGTCACAGACTCATGAAATGTTTTGTTCACCAATTAATCCTTTTTTGCCAAATAAAGTTCTGTATAAAGAAGATTAAACATTCCTAAAGTTCAGCTTCCTGAGATGCTAGGGTTCTAGGATTAGAGGAACATTTTAATCTGGACATGGATCTTGCATATATGTAACCATTTAATCTAAAGAGGGCCTATATTTTATACTCCTTTGCACACAGACCAAAAACCATAACCAATTTAAAGCCAGTTAGACAGAGAAACCAAGAACACATGGAGTGCGGTAGCTTTCAAACTTTCAGCTCTTTCAGCCAGAAAATCCTTCTCCCTCTTTGCCTATCAGGAGTTTGGCCATGGGAAATGAATTCTGGGGAAGAAAATTGCTTCTTTTTCTCTAGACTTTCACTTGTTTGTGTCATGCATTGCCTCCCTCCCAGGGCTTTAGCTAATCCAGGATATCTTCTGTTTGCCTAGGGGAAGCATTTCCCTGTCTGGAAAAAGCTTGATGTTGTGCATCAAACTAGCTGCAGGGGTGGCAGACAGACACAGGAAGAGTGAAAAGAGAACACTGCTCCTCAGGACAGAGCAATAGAGCACTGCCCTGGATTTCCTTCCTCTAAAATACAGACTTACATGGTGGTTGTCTTTCCTGCTCCATTGTGACCAAGGAAAGCTGTGATCTGGCCCTCATAAAAAGTAACATTCATTCCATCTACTGCTGGCTTGGGCCTGTTTGCAAAAATCTTCACCAGGTTCTGAATGCATACTCCTGGAATCAATCCTGTTGGCTCAGGCTCAAAGAAGGTATTTACTTGAAAGGCAAGAAATCAAGAATGAAAATCAATAAAAGCACGTTTTAATCCCAGTTCTGATTACGACACATCAATAAGTGCAGAAACAACAGCATATACCCAGTAAAACACAGCATCATGTGCCAGGGACAGATTCTGCAGTCACAGCAGTACCAAACTGAGGCAGGATTTCCAACTGCAGTAAAATTTATTTAGATTCACCCACATACCAATAACAGGAGAAGGGGAGTCCAGAATTGTAACAGTCTCTGGAGAAGTAACTCATTAGATCAGGTAAAGCTGAACATGCTTTCTGTTTTCATTGAGTAGAAGGAAGATCATTTGGATTTGTTGTCTGTAGAGATTTAGATAGGCTGAGAGATTACATTAAACAAGCAGCAGGTTGCCTTTCTAGCCAGGCTGAAATCTGCCATTCAAATCATCTGCCCAGCTGTGCATTCTTTCACCATGATGTTTTAAAAAAACATCATTTGCCTTTAATCCTGGTAGGTGAAATTTACCCCCTTGCTGAGGCCAGCTCAAGACTTAGGCAGTACCTAACATGAGTACTACATGGGATGATTTTCTCTCAGGATTAAAAATGCATTATTGTAAATAGCACCATCAGGATGTTTTATTGCATCAGCTTTTAGACAAAACAAACTTGCTTTGAAGTAAATTAAGCCCTTGGGCAATGTGAATTATGGGAGTTGAGAAATTTAAACTAAAGATCCTGTCCACTTTTGTTTACAGAGAACACTTAAGACTTTGTAGGGAGGCTTGTTTTGCAATTGCAATTTACTTAAATTGTTCAGTACCCAGCAGGCCTGCATGGAGAGCAGCCAATGCCATCTGGGTGAAACCAGCTCCACCTCCATCAGTGGATTGTATGACTGTCATTAGAAACAATACTCAGGAAGAAGTCCCAAATCTGTTGTACACGAGAGCTGTGTATACTACAAAGCAGCTGAAATAATTCATCTAGAATAGGTAGCTTTATTTAAAATATTTATGACAAACTTTTATTTTGTTTTGTGAAGGAATCTAGATTTCCTTTTACAAGGAAACATGCAAACATGTCTGTATTTACAAAAGTTCGCATGGAGTCTGACTAGACTTGGCAATTGAGGTACCATCCTCAGTTTTATACATATGATGAGCTCAATTCATATTTGCCTGCAAGACTCACTGACAAGTTCCAGGGCAAATTCTCTGTCTCACAGAATCTGCTTTGCATCACCTGAAGGACACTGGTGGAGGGTTGAGCTCCTTTTTTGAGATATGCATCTCTCCATTCTGATCCTACTCCCTCAGTGCAATTTTGGGCCATTTAGATCTTGCTTTAGAGGTGGCAGCATTTGGAGGGGACGTGGATGAGGCTTTGGTGAAAGCCCTGCTTAAAATGTGTCAAGCAATTAGGACAGATTTATAGTGTGTCTGCCCTGCTCTGATGAGCTGGGTTGCACTAGAGTTAAGCCATTAGAACTTCTTACATTAAGAGCTAGCTCTTACATAAAGCCATTTTGGAAACTGTGTCCTTGAACCATACCAGGTCTGTTCTTGGCTTCTCCACGTATCTTCCAACTCCTGTGTGGCTGGCTGAAAGGGAAGACGGGCTTTTTTGTGCAGTGACAGGCAAAGCCCTTTCTTTGTGGCCACGGAGCAGCTGGGACCTGGGAGCTGATGAGTACAGCACCACAAAGATAAGGCAGTACTAGGAGAAGATTGGCTGAAATAACCTTTGCCCTCTGCCTGTCTTTTTTCTTTTGAAGTCCTGTCCTGTTCCCATTCACCCTGAATGCATGTTTTCAGTGCCTACGTGAGGAGCTCTGATGACTCTACTTTTATCTCTAGCTTTTCAAGAGAGCCAGAGTGGGCTCAGAGCTGTCTGTAGCAGTTACTTTTGCTACAGAATCCACATACGTTCCTCTGAGCATCAAATACAGAAGACTCCTCTGGTTCCCTACAAAAGAAGACATTGGGACTTGAAAACAAGGCAGGTCATTCAGGAATTCTTAGGTGGTGGGTAATGTCAGCATCAGAAAAGGCAGCAGACAGACAC